AATATGTTTTTTGCATAAATTTCCTGCTTTCTTTTTCAGATAGTAATGCTATAGAGGGCCATTGGCTACTCGGCATGATTGCGGATGATAGCGAGGACCTCAGGTTGGAAATATGCCAGGACAAAGTTCGTTCTGTGAATGTGTTGTTGCCATTTATTAAGAAACACGTTAAGGAAGGTACAATTATTCGTGCAGATTTCTGGGAAGATGCAGACTGCTTGGCAGATACTGGTTTTAAATTCGAAAAAGTGACATACAATGATTCAGACAAACTTCTTAAAGGGACAGATGGAAAGCAGATACAAAGGATCGACGCACAGTGGAGAGTGGTAAAACACTTTTATTATAGGGACAATTTCAACAATCCAGCTAATTTCGCCGACATGATTGTCGAGTATTTGTGGCGAAAATCTATCACGCGCAAACACGAGGATCCCTTTTTGAAATTAATAGAAGCTATTCAATATTCGTTTGGGCAGTAATGTTTGGTAGTAGATAATTTTCCAAATGGCCTCATCTAATTAATACGAATGTATTTCCTTATATAGTCAAATATCTGACATAAGTTATTAAAATAAGTTACTTTAAGGTGCGATCAAGAGAAAGAATTTTTGTATTAAGATTCTAATAATTTTTCCATCGTTATTTTACGATCATTTTTCATTAAAAATATTCGTAATTTTTGGATTTAAAATATTTCGATCTCATTTGACTGAATTTTATAATTTTTTAGCAAAGATATTTGGACTTAACTTTTATCGAGCATATTTAATGAATGATCATTATAAGTGTCTACAGTAGCGAGAATGTAAATAGGAAAAATACGTTTTAGCAACTAGCAATATAGCTACCTATCGAAAAAACAATTAATTTAAAAACAATTTTTTTAAAGACAAGCTTTTATTACCTTCTAACGTCTAAATTTGTTGTGGAGTTGTTTCTTTTCATTTAATCCTTTCAGTACACTCATCCAATTATTGGACACTCTTGTTTGTACTTTAAGCTCTTCTTAAAATAATTGCTTATCATCGGGTTCTAAACTAAGTTTAAATTTTTAAGTCATAAGCTCATCGGGAAGTTGGTCAAAAATTAATTGCAGAATTCATGTAAATCAAATTTATAAACTTATAAAAATCTACGAATTTTAACAAATGTCAACAAAGTTTTAAACTTTTTAAATAGATAAAAAACTTTTTCTGGGTATTTGTTTTATACGCCATTTGCTTGGTTTTTGTTCGATAACGAGCTACACTTAAAAAATAATAAATAATTGAAACGGAAATGCCAAATAATACCCTATTATATTTTCGCCACTGTATGGTTTCGAATGTATGTATATATAGAAGTTTACGATTAACGATTGTGTTGATACGATTATATTACCCACAAATTTTGAATTTTTTGGTAAATGAAATATTAAACTGGAATAAAGGCGCAAATATGGTTATCTTCATTTATGAAAACTCGTAATCAAATGTTACTTTTGCTACAATAGGCTAGGCATCAAAGAGTTATGAATTAGAACACGTTTGTTCTAACAGCGATCGCTCACCACAAATTGCATGCGAATGACCCAGATTTATATTTGGCCAAGGACTGTCACTACAGCAACACTCACCAAAAATTCTTTTGGGAATATGTATGCTGCTACAACAACAACAGCCTGGTTGTTCCATATTCATATACAAATTGGGGTATTCCTGAAGTTTTGCAAAGCCCTTGCACGATGCACGGTTAAAAAAAAAAAGTGGTCCCATGGGAAAACCGGATTTTACCATGCAATCCGTGCACCGTACAAGGGCTTTGCAAGACTTCCGAGTATACCCTTAATAATTAATGCATGCATGTAATTATGAGTGCATTTATTTCGTTATTGACTACAACTATTATTTATGTAATTCTGTACATAGTATCTATATTAAAATCCAAATAGTTTTTAAAGAGCTGCATTCCCATTTATTACTTTTTGCCCTTCCGCTTCTTTTCACGTTTAGATTTCGCGCTTAATGCGCGTTTATCCTTCTTCTGGCGTGGATCGACAACACGATAATGTCCCTTTACACCCGCCGGTCTTCTCGCACGTTTTGCGGCTTGATGCTTCTTCGCTACAACATACGTAATTTCTTTCTTCTTTTCTTGCGCCTTTTTGTATATCTTTCTTAGCTGCTTGGCTTTCTCTTGCGCTGTCGCATCGGCATCATCCATAATTTTCTCAGCTTGTTTCTTTGCTTTCGCCAAACGTTTGAGGGCATGCTTGCGCTTGCGTGCCTTTGCTTCCATAACCTTCTTGATGGGACGCGCATTTAGTTCCTGCACCTTACGTTCATACTCTTCTGCGATTTCGTTTGGTACGGGCACTGGTTTTCTCATATGTAGGTCTTCATCCTGCACGAACCAGTGAGGTAGATTCTCATCATTGAATGCATAGCGATTCCAAGCACCGTCGATAAGATCGCGCCTAGTCTTCTTTCCCTTAATCATCATTGCGCCAAGGGCGAGCTCTTCCTCAGAGAGTCGTATCTTTTTTGCATTTGGCTCTAGTAAAATGAAAATTTTTCGTTAAAAAAATAATTCATATATACAATTTATTTATCCAGTACCAACACACCTTTTGCCATATTGCTAGCAGCTTTTTTTGTATTGCCGTTTTTCTCACCATCATCCTCTACTGTAGCATCCGAGTCGCTGTCCTCACACGATTCCGAACTTGATGCTTCTTTTGAATTGTCATGCCTGGCACGCCGCTTAGATTTCTTACCCAGCGCTAACTTTACTGTATCGCTATTTTTCTGCGTCTCACCTAATACCGCGACACCTTTGCTCTTGTATTCGCTTGCCAAGCGATCCAAGTCATAATCCTCATCATCATCAGTATCGATCTGTTGCAGATTATCCTTTTCGAACCAAAGTTGCACCCGTTGCTGCCGTTTTGTGTCCTTATCTCTGAAGTCTCCTGATTTAATAAGAGGATGCTCCGTACGCTTCTTTTTCTTTTGTGGTTCTGCGGTTTTATCTTCATCATCGCTTAATCCCAAGCTATCTTTCTCGTAGTCACTTTCGGAATTCTCTTCAGCCGACACATCTGGCTCATCGTCGTTTTCATAGTTCGCGTCATCATCCAGACGTTTATCATCCTTGGCATAAACTTTGTATTTCGGTAATTTTGGCACTTCTACTGGCTCGCCCTCTACATCAAAATCGGGTACTACGTCCAACATTTCGTCCAGCTCGCGCTGTGTTTTGACACTCTTTAAGTCGAATATTTCTAGCTCGGCCTCTTCTTGTGGTCCAGCATCGCCTTTGATTACCATATTCAAATTCATCTTCTCATGTAGTTTTTGCTTTGACTTGAGCTCCTTCTTTCGCTTGCGTTTTAAATCACGTTGCTCTTCCTCGGCAAGTTCAGCTATTTGCTGTCGCAGCTCTTCTTCCTCCATATCCTCGATTTCTTCTTGTGTAAGCACCTTTTTCGGCGCGTCCTCTTCTATGACACTTGTCTCTTTTTCGGGCTGCTTAAATAGGTCATCTTTTAGAGCTTTCCACCATGCCAATAGTCCTTTAATATCCTTGCGTCCCAGGACTTTAATATCCTTACAACACTCAAGTATTTCTGGAGTTGTCTTCGGATGCTTTTCAATGCGCTCATCGTCTATGACTATTGAACCAATACCCTGCAAGGCGCCCAAGCCACTGCTTGCTTGCATAAATTCTGTAGCAGACAACTCATTACGTAGCGCAATATCTGCTTCAGTATAGCCCTCAGCTTTGACGCGTTTCTGCTTTTCGGGATGCAGCAATGAGTTCTTCTTTTTGCCTTCTAAATCCAGCTCTTCAAACACATACTTGGGGTCCAACAGACGTGGGTCGATGCGAGTAGGCGCCAAAAAGCCTTGACACACAACGAATATCTCGGCAGATTCCTTACGTGAAGCGCTTGGTTTAGTGGCATGTACTTTTTTGAACAGTTGTTTTAGTACCCACAACAAAGCATTGTAATCTTTTGAACGGAATACCTTTGTAACGAACCAGCCGCCATTTCGTAAAAAATTTGTACTGAGTTTTAAAGCGTTCAGTGTCAAGCAAATCTGTTGATATGCATCAAACAACCAATTGCGACCCACATTTGGAGCACCGTCGTGCAGCACAACATCGACTTTCCACGATTGCAATTCTTTGGTTAACGATTGCTTGCATTTTTCCGTGGTTATATCTTCAACAAGACTAATGCAACCAGCTATTGGACGTATGGGGAACAAGTCCACACCGACCACAATGCTCGAAACAGGCATATTTTGTTTGGCTACCTGCATCCAACCACCAGGCGCTGCGCACAAATCTATACATACTTGCGATTGCTGGAGGAAGCCAAATTTTCGATTGAGCTGTATTAACTTGAATGCAGCACGCGAACGGAAGCCTGGAGGGAGGCAGCAAAAATGTAAAAAAAATTATACGGATGCATGTTATGAGAACTCACCCGTCTCTTTCGCGAGCTGGTAGAATTTATCCTTCCGCGCTTTTCCAATTTTTGTCTTCTTTCCCATATTGGTGAGTGAATTTATAAAAGCTGCTCCCGAAAATTATGTTATATTTAGAAAGGCTAATTGTTTAAATATATAAAAACACAAATAAAAATGAGGCGTGCACGTGTTGTGCAGTATTCAATTAAATGTTTAGGGTTGCCAACTCTATATAGTGACGACTGATACGAAAACGCGGAAATTAAAAAAAAAAAGACTCGACCTTCCGAAGTTTTTGTGCTGGTAGGGAATATAATCCAACACCGATTGGATATGATTAACTGCTACAGAAACTTTTAATTACTATAATTTAACAATTCAAACCTTACAAATATATACCAATTTGATTTTTGGGTTTTTACCATGACTATTGGTAACTCTTCGACGAACAGCTGACGTTTTTTTGCTGGTGTTGCAGTTTTGGGGGAAAAATTGGCAAAATTAATGCCATCAACAAAAAGAGGGTAATTATATAGGGTTAAGAACATAGGACAGCTGACGTTTCCGCTCGGCGGTTTATGTTGCTCATTCGCCTTGTAGGCGGATGGAATATTTTGCTGCTCTTCAATTAAATAATAAAAATAAATTTAAAATAATAGCACAGAAACTCCAATTTTGAGTGCTATTTAAATAGATTGTCTAAAATGAATTCATTAAATTTGCGTGTTTCATCAGTGAAAACTGGCGAGAATGTAAAGAAAAATGCGGATATGCGTACTGCGCTGGTCACGTTGCCGAAGCACTATGAAAATTGTAAGTATTTAAGCACAGTATATAAAAGGAAAGAAAATATATTAATATTGCTTAAAACAGCCGAGGCTAGCTATTGTCTGGAATTAAAGAATGCCAAATCCATACCGGAGCAGGTGGCGGCGGTGAAAAATGTAAGTTGAGTAGTACCGGCCAATGTAAACAAAATATCTGAGCATGGCGCGATACTAATATAAACAATTCCATCGTGATATTTGAGAATTTTAGTTTTTGTTGTTCTTAGATATTCAAAAATCTCAGTCGTGACTCACAGGCGTTACAATTTCTGGCGGACTTGTACTTCCATTGTCCACTAAAGCATCCAGTGCGTAATCAGATTCTAAAGTAAGTAGGTGCAAGGTTTGCATGACGTACCTACCATACGTGCATATTAAGCATTGCATTTAAAAATGCTGATCTCAGCAATGCAGGAGCGTGCAAACAAAAATCAATAATCATTTGCCTTTTACCTACCCCTGCTGCAGGCTTTTGATTACAGCTGCGCGCCTGGGCACCGGTGATACAGATGAATCATCAATTGTGAACGCATTGTCGCAAACAATACAGCGATTGGTGGAAGAGGCCAGAGCAGAGACTGAGAGTAGCGCGTGGAATTTCACGGTCACATCGATGACTGGCTGCTTTGAGAATTTTGAATGCGGTCTGAAGGCTATTGAAATGAGTACATCCCAAGTATTTCCCTTTCTCTGCGCAGCCGTGCAGAAGTATCTCACCGAGTTGGGGTTTGTATAAGATTGTAATATATGTACTTGTGTACATATATGTATAAATGTACATATGTATGTATTTACAGCATTTGTGTGTATATTTATTATACCTTCTTAACTATTTCAGCGTACTTAGCTCGCCTTCTGTGCGCAATGAATATTATCTCTATGTGCATAATGCCGTTCGTCTACTCCTGAGTTGCATACAAGAATATGGCTCTAAACTCAAGGATATCCACAGTGACACACTAAAACAGTTGAGTGTATTATGTAAGCAAGTCGTACAGGACGATGAAATACCGATGGATCCGCGCACAAATGCTGGTATTCTATTGGCCCACAATGCCAGACTCAATGCAACCTATGATACTTTTATACAAGAAGTGAAATTAACAAAGAATCCTAATGAGATTGCTCTATGTGTTGGCATCGTAAACACTTTCGATCAGCATGACTTTCAACGCATATCCGCTGACATACGTGACATATGCAGCAAGATTGATGAAATCGCCAATGCCAATGCTACGGTACCAAATATACTACTTTGCGCCACGCGTGCACTTTATCAGATCTCAAAGATCATACTAAGTTTCGAGTTGAAAGCTCAGTCGCCGCCCACAGATGATGCCAAATTGATTTTGCGTAAGCTTTTGATTTACACTTTTGGGTTTTTGGAGCATCATATGGATAGTGTACGCCACCTCTGTCGCGATTTGCTGCGCAATACAGTAGCAGCAGCATATAAAATCAAATTTGATTTTCTTATACAGAAAATCTATGATGCTTGCAATTCTGAGCGCCTATCACTTTCTATGAAATGTATAGTGTTGCAGCAGACTGCAGCAATTTTGGGAGCGGATGCCATAATACGCAATTGTCCTGAAGTCTTTACAAACATATTTGCCGAGCAGCTCGGACGCGATTTTATGGTGAATAATTTGTTTGAGAGTAAGTTTGGCAGAAATATTTAGATCTGTTATAATAAAATAAATGTATGGATTTTGCAGCACTTATGTACGCCAGCCACAAAGAAGTTAACTTTGAAACGTGGGTAAAACTCTGGATCGAATATATGCTTGTGATTGCCACGTCCAACGATGCACGTTTGAGTGATATTGAAACGTTAATAGTCAAGGCGGTTAAATGTGAACCGAAAATTGTGCAACATATCATACAACACACCGACACAGAAATTCCGATAAGTACAAAGTTATCAGCACTTTGGGCTGTACGCAAAGCGGGCATTAAAGTCGAGGATTTTACTGAAGTTATGGAAAAGTTCTCTAGTAACCTTGTACACAGTATACTCTCCAACTCCGATGATACCCGTATTATGGCTTTGCGGCTCTTGGTGGAGACAAATAAGACGACAGAATTGCTGACGTTGTTGGAATGTGAGAATTTGCTTAACTACTTGGAATACAATGCGAATTGTCAAAGTCCAGCAACACGTCAAAAGATGTTGGGGCTATTTAATAAGGCATTAATACGTTGTGAATTGAATTTAGTTAAAGTATTGAAGGACTATAAATCAGCCAAAGCAGTAGGTGCAGCGAGCAACGCTGGTGATAGGATTGGCGGTTCTGCGCCGTTGCAATTGAAATTTTTGCGTGATGTCATTAAAAAGTTGGTGGGAAATTTGTTTCAGGTAGGAATGATTTGATAGGATTAGCTAAAATTTATTTCAAGATTCACGAAATATAAGCGATAATAATTCGATAGCGATAAACTTATCAACAGAAATGTTGAAAAAACATGTAATTTTTAGCAAAAAGAAAAGACTTAAATTCTCATATAAAAAAAAAATATATATATATTTATTTCATGATCCAATGATGGGATCCTTGTCACCGCGATTCTAGGTACGTTGGTAATGCAGTGAAAATATTCAGCAATTCAGCTATGAAGATTTGTGGAAATTCCTGTATTGCATATTTCACGGGGCAATATTTTGTTACCAGCTTATGAGCAGCGGCTTTCTTAGTTGTGGCATGCTAAAGTTTTATGTTATTTACATCTTTATGTATGTATATTAAAATAACATTTATGACATCGACAAATATTAAAAAAAATCTATCGATGTCGATAATTAATTGACAATAGTGCATGTATGTATACAATTCCATAACAATATCGGTAAATTTGTATGTATGTATGTACATTCGCAAGTACATATGAGCCCTTTATTTTGAAAGTGGCATAAGTCACTTCGTACCTCTTGAGCTTAAATGACGGGATACTTGTAACCGAACGCATCTGTAAATCGTTCTATCCATGATAAAAACCAGGGACGTGAACCGGATGAAAAATTTTGTCGGTTCGGTTCAGCGGTTCGAACCGTTTTTGCACTTTTGGATTGGTTCGTCAAAGCGGTTTTTTTGGTTTTTGAACCGGGGTTTCGGTTCGGTTCAACGGTTCGAAAAACAAACAAGTAATAAAGTCTAAGTTCGGGCGGAGCCGAACATTAAATACCCGGCGCAAGTATTAAATATATGATTTTCACCTTTCCGAAAGCCACCGCAACATGGTATACCGGGGTGTATCAATTTTGAGTAATTTAGCGTCCTTAAATTTCGAAATATTGAGGTTTCAAGCATTTGTGAAATTTACCGTTATAAGAAAAGCGGCCTAAATTTTAGTCTGATTTCAATAATTTTCAACGTTTTGCTTGTATTTGGCAAGCACAATAGCCATACCGAGTTTGGTATAAATTGGTAGACCGGTTACCGAGATACATATATGTGATCATAAGTGGGCGGTGCCACGCCCGTTTTCCAAAATTTTATCATAAACGTATTTCTTGGTAAAGGATTGTCAAAAGCATCAATTTTGAATAAATTTGCTTTAATATTTACTGATTTATCGAAGATTTCGTATTTCTCCAAATTACCGTTATATGGGAGATAGGCGTGGTTATTGTCCGATTTTGCCCATTTTCAATACCATCCGTCCTACGCCCGAAAGAAGTGCACGTATAAAGTTTCGTTAAGATATCTCAATTTTTATTCGAGTTATCATGTGCACAGACGGACCGCCGGACCGACAGACGGACGGACGGACAGACAGTCACCGCTTAATCGATTTCTCTTTTCATTCTGATCACTTATGTATACATTTGTCTATATCTATCTCGATTCGTTTTACCTGTTACAAACAACCGTTATGTGACCAAAGTTTTAATACCCTTGTGCACAAGTGCGCTCGGGTATAAAAAATAATGCGCAAGTTGAAGTGTCCAGTGCAACAACGCGCAAGGTTAAGGGTCAAGTGTCTGTCAAATGAGATGGGTTGCCTTTACATTTGATATTGTCACATGGTAAAAAAACATGATAGGTATTATCATGTTTAACTAAGAAAAACTAAAACTTAGTTGAATCGAACCTTTAAACCTTTATGGAAAGTGGTTCGGTTTTCAGTTCGGATCAAACATTTGTGGAAAATTTCGGTTCGGTTAATGATTCAGTTAATTAATAGAAAAAAAGCGGTTTTCCGGTTCAAAACTGGTTCGGTTCAAAACCGGTTCACGTCCCTGATAAAAAACATAAGGTAAAATCATTTAGAGGCAGTTTGACGTTTGCCAGCAATATCATTTTAAAATTCGAACTCAAGCTCACACACACATTCTCATTTTTTTATCTCAAACAATTTTATTTTCAATTTTACATGGTTTTTTGAATGTTTCCAAACGTCAGAAAAAAATCATGGCCGACGAATTGAGAGATTGATTTTACCTCCTAATGTTTTTTATCATGGTTCTATCGTCACAAACTAATGGCTAAACCTTTTACCATTAGTTGACGAATTTCAGATACAAGTAACCAGAAATTTAAGCACAAGAGGCGTGAAGTAACTTATGCCACTTTTAAAATAAACGGCTTGTATGTGCATATACTAGGGCTGTTCAGGATCTTGTGCATATGCTCTTGCATTTGCATATTCGTTGCATTCGGTTGCCATGGCAGCAAGCATACAATTTGCGAATGAAAATCCAATACCATTTCCACAACATTATGAACAGCCCTACTGAAATCAATTTCGATAAAAATTTAATTTAGGGTAATTTTATATTTACGACTGATATTTGTCTCGCCCCGATACCTTTGAGTGCAGGATTCAGTAATAATAATATAATATTTTTTCTTTGTCACTATTGAATAACATTTCGTTATTTTTATCCAATATGTTATTATTATTATTATAATTATTATTATTATATTAATATTATTATTATATTATTATTACTATTATTATTATTATAATATAATATAATTATAATTATATTATAATATTTTTTCTATGTCACTATTGAATAACATTTCGTTATTCTTATCCGATATATTTTTTCCCTTTTAGGGTGCTAATTTCAGTCGCCGGTCAGTATCTCTGCAACTATTGGAGCAGTGTATACAGATTTGCAGCAATTGCACCATCTCACTTGATGATATATTGCCACAAAATACCGTTAAAGCGCTAGCTGAAATGCTTGCCGATTCTTACGAAGCCAATAAAGAATTAGCTGTGAATATTTTAAAAGCCATTGAAAAACGTTTAGATTGCAATCTCATAAAGCAGCATCAATTAAATATAAGTTTAACACATATCTGTAATCTCTTAACATCAGTCCGTCCAACCGACTCCGTAACCGGTGCTTATCAATTGGAGTTCTTCTGCAATCGCACTGAACATATTGGCAGCTTTGGTAGCTATGAGCCAACCAATTATAATGCCATATACTATGCTGCACTGCGTTGGTTGTTGCAGGAGTTGAAAGCTGGTCTAAAGGTGGCGAAAGAAAGTTTGCTGCAAGCGGCTAAACTTAATCCCCTATATGGCATTTTGTTTACAGTGAAACATTTTTTGATGCGGCTAGATTTTAAGACGCTGGCGCAAGAGATTCCATGGCGCATTGTTATTGCTGAATTGATTGTGCTTTGCAAGGAACTGACGACCGTTGTGGCTCCAGTGGTTAATAGTTCTTCACCCGAGGGACATTTGCCAAACGATTTTAGTAAATTGCCGCCTGAGTATGGTGAAGAGTTGATAGTTGACGAGAAGGATGGCGCCAACTGCAAGATACTTTCTTCCAAACTGGCAAAAATCGATTTGTCCAATATAAAGACGACACCGCAAATGGTACTACTCTGTGCCTGGCGCACCGTTAAAGAGGTTTCATTGATACTCGGTGAGATTGTGTTACGTTCACCGCTTCAACTTAGCAAGCTGACTGAGCAGTTTCTCATTACCAAAGAACAGTTGCTCGAAATTGGAGAACACTTCAAGCAGCTGCTTGCCGAAACAAAGCATCGCGGCGCTTTCGAACAAGCCTATGTGGGTTTCTCAAAACTTTGTTGTCGCCTTTGGCGCTTAGAGGTGCTCGATTTGAATTCCCTACCCATGCAATGGCTGCGCGACTTGCTTACACTCATTTCTAAAGATGAACAGCTGAACGAAAAGATTTGCGCCACCCGTCGCAGTGCAGGCGTGCCCTTCATGGTGCAAGCGCTCATCACATCCGAATTGCAGGTGGGCTCAACGAAGTCTCTCTATTACTGCATGTCACATCTGTTGCAGCTGTGCGCATCGCGTGAACGTAGCGCTGAGTCGCGTACGCATGCCATGAACATATTGCGCGCCCTCTTCCGTTGTACGGATTTGAACGAAGCGGTTGTGGAGTATGTGTGTGATGGTGTTATGTGTGCCATACGCGGTTACGATGCCGAAACCTGGTCGGAGAAGAATTCCGCAACTTTGCTATTTTCTGCACTCATCACGCGTATATTTGGTGTGCAACGCACACGCGACTCGGATAACTTGAATGTGCGCAACAAAATGACCGGACGCGTATTCTTCCTGCGCTATCCAAAACTTTATGATTTCTTCCTTGCGCAGCTACACGAAGCGAGCGAATTGGTGCAGAAGCAGAAAAAGGCGCATAAGCTGCATCCGTTGCTGTTGATACTCAGCCGGTTGTATCCGTCAGCACTGGAGGGTACCGAGTCAAATTTAAAAGTGAGTTTTAAGAGTGCTGTGGCTTAGTAAAATGTATATTATTTGTTTTAAAATATCTTTTCTTTCAGTTAACCGAATTTATTCCGTACATTTCAAGCTGCGCAAGTTGTCCTGAAATGCAAACGCGCTACTTAGCGGCTAAAGCAGTATTGGCGCTAGTCTCCAAAGACGCTATACCCGTAACCATATTGCGAATGTGTGCTGAGATCGTGGTACGTATGAACGAAAGTGCTGAGTGGCACGTTTTAATCATTGTTGAAGGAGTATTTTTTTATGTTTTCTGCCCAACCTTCTTACTGTTTTTCAATGCCACTTTAAATTTAGATCACGTAAACTGCGTTCATATTTAACAGCTAGCTCACATTTGATTGCCTAATCTTAGTTAGCTCGAGCGCTTCAAATAGTTTAAACCACATTCAGATTTAACCGTGGACTGGAAAACTGGCTAAGCCTAAAAGTAGGCTACAGTTTTTGATCTGATGTTGCACAAACATTATTTTGGTTGGTGCAGATTGATTTTTGATTTTTTTTTGAAGAACGAATTAAAATTTTGCATCGTAATATTTTTTTTTTTTACTTTCAGATATCTGCCGACCAACCTAAGTCGCTGAACTTGAATGTCTTACATGGACAACTGCTACAGGTAAGTGAATTTAAGATATCAATTAGTCGCCATTTCTTATCTACAAATTGAGTGAAATGGCGCTTTTCGGTAGCATCGCCACAGTATATGTATTAAACTTACGTTTTCACCACCGAATATATGTCTTATCGGCGGATGAATGGATGATCGCTTTATCTCGGCTATCGGCTGGAAAACGCCTTATCTCAGCAAATGGTTCAAAATGCCCCATTTCAGATTTTTATTGAAGATCGCCCTGCCTCAGCAAATGGTTCAAAACCACCCTATCCCAACTGCCGATATATTGAATTTATATTGAGATAGGACATTTTTGAACCAAATCCTGAGATACGATGTTGTAGAAACGGCACTAACTTATTTATTATATAAAGTCATTCGCAACAACCAAGATTGTCATTGTTTTATGTATGATTATCTCAAATAAGTTTTTAGGCGCCGAGGCGCAAAGTTGAAAACGTTCTTTCATTCGCGGCAGTCGTATAAGGTAAACAGCTATGACTCCTAAGTACTTGATGAACATTTGGAAAAGCATCGGAGTTACAAAAATCCAAAGCTTCAAATGAATTTTGAATATTTATACCACCGATGCGTTTTCTCCAAAGTTAAATTTCACTTTTCCATATTTCTGGCATCGAATCATGTAAAATCGACATATATTTCTCAAAAAGTTCACAACAAGATAATTCATGAAAATTTGGTGCTTTGTCAGAAAAGAGGCAAGCAAAATTATACAAAATATCACGCTGTTTTAGAAATCGATCTTGCAAATGCGTAATGAAAAGATCTAGGCACCGTATGTAAATCGCGATTCGGTATAACTGCTTCCGAGTGATTTGAATCTGTTGTGTTTCGTTACCTTGTATTAGTGAAACTAAACGATACCGAAACGTTTGTTATTGTTTGTTTGCGTTCTCTGGGTCGTTCTCTGATGATATTTATTCATTGAATTATTTTGCCAAACCATAACTAAATAGAGAAGCGAAGGGTATTCTTAACTACCGCCGCCGAAAAAAGTAGTCGGATTTCAGCCGCCGCAATAAGAAGAGAGAGGTCGAAATACGTGAGTGTGAAGAGATTGAAATGCTGGCCGACAGTGGCCACCTATGACTACGGTGACCATATTAACCAACGTAAAATAAAGGACATTTTTCTTTCAAAATGATTTAGGAAAATATTTAACAGTTAATTAACCGATTCCGAAAAATGAAGCCAAAGTCCTTTTCAAGGACTTCGCCATCCTTTGCTGCCAAAATGCGTTTACCATAATTCATACTGCACGCCGAAGCCGGTACACAATGGTTCAAAATTGGAATTTAATGTTCATAATTCACCGTAGTCTTCATTTTTGAAGCAATTTTTACTAAAAACCAAAAAAAAAATTTATTTCGGTGAAAATTTTTTATAACATTTCAAACATTTTTTTTTTGTAATTTTTTCGTTTTGAGGAATTATACAATTGTTTTCGATTAGTCTTTGTTATGTAATATTTATTAACTGGAAAAGGAGAATACATTTTCTTCAAAATTTCCACTTCTCTGCATTTTGCGCAGAAAAAAATTAATATAATCAAGTAAAAATTTACAGATTAGGCTCAACTGGTCTCTAGCAAATATTATAAGCTTTCATAAAAAAAAAAATATCAAATTAAGTGAAAAAAATGAAGGCTCCAGTGAATTACGACCACTAAATGCCAGTTTTGAACCACTGTGCAGCAGGGGGTTTCTTGTTCTCTTTCAGTGGAACTGGAAATTTAGCGTGCAACACGATCCTGGGCACAACTTTCCCTGTGCTCTATAGAGTGATTGTGAAAAGATTACCTATTAAATAAAAACCCTTAAGTGGAGTGCGAAACGAACTGGCGAAGGTTTTCATTATATTTTATAAGGGACATTTTTAGTTTTCATATACCTTGTTTATACCTACGCAAGAACCGCATTAACAAAAAGCTGATTTGACTCAACACATATTTCGTTCAAGCATTTATACCTGTGTCGTTAAGGCTCACTCGCAGAAACCGTATTGAAAAGTAAACAAAATTTGTTATTCTTATTCGATATTTCTTAAATAATTAATTTGCGCGGTGAACCGAAATGGAAGCGAACAACAATTCAAATTTGTTATAATAATAATTCAAATTTAAAACGGGCTGTATAAAGAAAACCAGCCTTTTTCACTTCGCGTCAAATGAGTGATGTGTTTATACCTGTTTTCTAACCGATGTGAGAAATAAAAAAGCGATTTGAAAACAAATTCGAGTCAATACACTTTTGAATTTCTGAACGTATTGAAAGTTGGTTTATGCTTCCGTTATGAATCACAGCGAACTGGGTCAAAGCGCTTTATGTGTTGGTATAAACAAGGTAATATTCTGTGTTTAAAAATTTACCTCTGAAAAAATGCAGAGCTGATTTAAAGGACAGTTTAAGAAAAGGCGTCCTTTATTTTGAAAAAAACTATAAAGGACAGGGGGTAAAATAAAGGACTGTCCTTTAAAATAAAGGACGGATGGCCACCGTACCTATGACCAATGTCCAGAATGTACTTAAATTGTGGAGGGAACACTTTTCCACCCTACTGAATGGTAGCAACGCTGAAAGTAGTGGAGAAGACGGATCCGAGACCTCGGCCGATGACGATGGAGTCGATGTCCCACCGCCTGACTATGACGAGGTGCAAATAGCGATTACGCGGCTGAAAAATAACAAAGCGGCTGGAGCTGACGGCCTGCCAGCCGAGCTATTCAAGTACGGCGGCGAGAAGCTGATAAGGTGCATGAATCAACTCTTATGCAGAATATGGTCAGATGAACGCGTGCCCGACGACTGGAATTTAAGTGTGCTCTGCCCAATCCACAAAAAGGCGATCTCGCCATACGCGCCAACTACTACGGGATCAGCCTTCTAAGCATAGGCTATAAGCCCACCGTCAACGAAGTGATTAAGCCTTATCAGTGTGGCTTTAGACCTCGAAAATCCACCATAGACCAATCTTTTCAAACGCAATATTTGACTAAATTTTTTTTTTATATATTTATTAGTTTTCCTTCCCAAAGTTCATTTTTGCTTGAATCGCTGTTTTAAATGATTCTCGTTTTCCCCAATAGCCGCTGAATCCACAACACTCTTCGTTCCCCTAATATTGTCACCATTAGGCTACCTCAATAAACAAGTTTTATAGAAATATTTTTTACTATTTTTGTAAACAAAATGGTGGTGAATTTGTATGCATACTTCCCTCCAACAGGGGTAGGATAGGCACGGGCCGGGCTTTTGGCAGGGATCGGCGGGCCCCAGAAAATATGTTATAAAAATCTTTGATGTAAAAAATTGATTCGCCTTAGTAAATATACATATGTACATAAACTCAAAACTAAAACTATGTACATATGTATACATACAATAAAAGTTAGCTCTTTATTTCCGGGCTGGGACGTGTCCCGTCGTGCCGGGCCGGGCCGGGCCCCAATAAAATTCTTAACGTGCGGGCTCGTGCGTGTTTTTGAAAGTTGATTTTGCACTCGTGCCGGGCCGGGCCTGAAAATTTAGGCCCGTGCCCATCTCTAAACAGGGGGGTTTATGTGGTGCACACGGGAGTCTCACGGAGCCACTCGGCTTTCACGTACAACTCGAGCGTGCGACGTTACCGAACTTAGGGCCGGTTGTTCAATGTCTGATTAGCACTAATCGGAGGTAGAAGCTCCGGTTAAATACAACGACTGTTTTATCGATCACGTTATATGCATGATGTCGAAAACGTCGATAGTAATGTTTAACCGGCAAGTAGTGATAACTAGACATTGAACAACCGGCCCTTGTGTTGCGTTGTATTTCGTTTTGTTGTATTGTGTTGTGTTATGTTGTGTTGTATTGTGTTATGTTGTATTGTGTTGTGTTGTGATGTGTTGTTTTGTGTTATGTTGTATTGCGTTGTGTGTTGCTATGTTTTATTGTCTTGTGATGTGTTGTGCTATGTTATGCTAAGTTGTGTTATGTTGTGTTATCTTATGTTGTGTTGTGTTGTATTGTCTTTAACTGGTTTGTGTTGTATTATGTTATGTTACGTTACGTTGTTATGTTATGTGATGTTGTGTTGCGTTTCGTTGTCTTGTATTGTATTGCGTTGTTTTGTGTTTTGTTGTGTTTTTTTGTGTTGTGTTTTACTGGTTTGTGTTGTGTTATGTTATGTGATGTTACGTATTGTGTTGTATTGTATTGTGTTGTGTTGTGTCATGTTATGTTATGTTATATTCTGTTATGTTGTTCAACGCATTTCATCTCAATTCACATCAATCAACTCCACTCAACTCGTCTCAGCTCAGCCCACCTCAACTCCCCTTAATTTAAAAGGTCGCATTTCAACCACTGGGCGAACACTAGTTATTCAAAGGGTGGCTCGAATCAAATTTCCAAAATATGCAAAAAGCCTAGTCTCGTTCACAAATATTTTTTTGTTTATAACTTAAAAAACCAGTTCTTTAAATATAATAATCCATAAACAAAAAGTCTTTATTGCCTTGGCAAGATTCGAGTAATGCGAACACAATTTTTCATTTCCACCTTTCAGATTTATATGCTACTAAAAGCGCACAAGCAACCTGACGTTGAACTAGTCGGCGATATTGCCACCACATTGGTTCTATTTCAAGAAAAAACGCAAGTTAAAAATGCCATTCTACTAAAGTTAATTATGGATATTTTCATTGAGATTTTACAAAGGTGAGTGGACTGCATAGAACAACTTACAACATTTGCATAAATGGTCATAGTTTTTTACACTTTTCATAAATTTCTCACGACCACCTTCCAGCCAATCGAACCTCAACTATCCACAGGAGACAATTCAAAGTTTACTCTACTTTACTACTCAGAAGGAGTTTTACAATCCCGAATTGAGCTTTTACTATCCGGTGCTGCGCAAATCTTTCTACATTTATAATCTACACACGCTACGCTTAACTCTACCGTTTGGTGCACTCTCCGACTACCTACTTTGCCCGCCACTCACACACAATACCATGCAATTTGAACAAACGGAAGTGTGCCTTAATATTATATTGCTGCTGTTAAGAAATGTGGAAATGGATGTGTCTGAGTTTGAAATATCCAATGACGAATTGCGTTTTGTACGCGCTTTACCAACTGCTATGCGTGATAATTTGGCCACAGAGTTGCGTCAGAGTAAAGCATTGCATGCAACATTAAAAGAGCTGATCCAAAAGACGCTGTACTATCCAGAGTGTGTTATGAAAGCGTATGCAATAATGAGCTACTTAGATCACTTTGATTTTGCTTTAAGTCAATTGCTAAAAGAGTCTAAAAAGCATCCGGGTGACGTTAAGTCGCCACTGACAATGTGTGTGGAACGCGTGGTGCTCAAGCAAGGTGGCGTAGACTCAAAGGTTTCACAATCGTGTCTGGAGTATTTATTGGAAATATCGCAAGCGTGGAATCCCGATTGTTTGAGGTAAGCAAGGGAAAAATTATTTAGATTTAAGATGCAAAAAAGCTCAATAGGCAACTGCCATTTATTCAGATTGAAAGCTGCTCAAATTTTATCGCACATCGCTGTACATTTCAACAAAGCGCTGGAGAAGAAGAAATTGCCATTTTTACGCCTGTATATTGGGCTTACGCTGGCGTTGTTAATGGATGATGACTTCGAAATACGAGACTACACAGCGAAAATCGTTTTGAACAACATAACCGAGGACCTTGGCATGAGTATGAGTAGGCTGCAAATGAATGCCTCTAAAAAATAGTTAATCTTTCTTTTCTTTTCGATTTCCCTCTTTATCCGTTACTAGCAAGCGTTGTTGCGACTATGGCGCAACGGCTTTTCCTGCAATCCACAGCCGACAAGCTGGAGGCGATGCGCGCCGATGATAATTACATTTTGGACATATTTAAAATCATCAACGAAGCGCTGAGCTTGGGCATTGGCGCAGACGAAGACAGCAGCGGTTCAATGAATGGCAGCAATAGCAGCTCATCGACAACGGGTGATTTGGAAATATTCGATAAACATGAAGCGAATGTCTTTGCGGAACCACAAAAGGCGATGCTTGATGCGATTGTCGTATTTAAAACGTCATTTAAAACACGTCCCAAAATACTGAGTTACTTAGAAGAGGCAAAGCCATTTTAAGTTGACACAACAGTGTTTTTTTTAATAGCAACTAAAGGTATTTAATTTTTTTCATTTCTAGAGTACATAATACGAGTATGACGTAAGCTTAGTTAGAATTGTAGTTAGTTGTAGTGCTTGAAACGAGCATTGTTTTGGAAAAAGAGTGTTAGTTTTTATGAATCATACTATCGTTGAATGTAAGTATTTTTAGACTACCTAATGTAGTAAGTTGTAAATGTACTGTGTACACTGTGAAATATATATGTAGTTCGATGTAGCTCTACATTTTTTTTCCATAAAATCCAACGATACATTGCTTGTTAGTTTAAATAACGATAGTTGGAAAAAATTATTTATTAACAAATCAAATTAAAAGACTGGTTTTCACTATGTCAAATTCAATGGTATTTGTCGTCAAATAAGTGAAAAAACATTGTAAAATGGGACCTGAAAACGGCCGATTTTTTTTTTTTAGATCAGAACAGGTCTTCAGTCATTTACATGCGCTACTAAATCGGCTATCTGTCCGAATTTGGCCCATGGTATATTCGGTGAAGGATTGGATCAAAGGAGATAAAGTTGTGTCAAAAAATGCCTACAAATTTTGTCGTCGAAATATGACACAGTGAAAACCAGCTCTAAGCAGTACTACGGTCTATTATTTTTATATACAAATAAGATTACATTTAAAAAATTACGTTATGGCCGTTTTCTCCAGTAGCTTTTCAGATAAATTTTAAGATATCTTCAGAAAACGGCCCTTAGTATTGAAAAAAAATTTAAAGTTCCGGAAGGTATACATATTTGATATAACGTGGAATGATTTTCCGTTCCGCTCGAGAACGAAATATACCACTGGAGATGGCACAACGCCGAAACCGGTTTGTCTCCAAACCAAATTTGACAAGGGATGACGGAAAATCGTTCCACATTAGCTCTGATCCAATACTTTTCGTGAAAAATCCTGTAAAACTGTCAAACAGCAAAATTACTCTCTGAAGTGAGAGTAAAAAGTGAGTAACAACAAAAAGTACGGGAACAAAAAAACCATTTTTCCTGTAAAAACGTCAACCAGTGATTGTTTGACACTTCATTCTCTACACAACTCTCTAAAAGTCGCTCTCATTTACAGGATTTTGGAGGATTTTGTTGTACGGGAACATTTTTCCTGCAACTTCCTGCAAGTTCGTGTAAAATCCTGTAAGTTCATGGAGTACTGGATCAGAGCTATTATATCACACTCCTACCCTGTCGGAAACACCAACAACGAAAATGAGACTATACATATCGTCGATGTTTTTTGCAAAACCGCCCATCACCCAATTGCAAAACCGCCTATCTTACGGCTCTCAAATTTTAAAGGAGAGCGAAAAAACGGTTTATTCTTTGAAACAATAGGTGTGTACTCGTATTGAGAGGACAAAATTCTCCAGCAGCAAAAGTTCTGAGAATTTAGCAGCATTCGCTCTCAAAGAGACGAAATATCAACAAAAGTACGAGAACGCAAATAGTCTGTTCCAATAGCAGTCCGGTTTACAGGATTTAGTCAGAACTTACAGGAAGTCGTTCCTATTGACATAAAACCTGTAAGTGGGAACACATTTGAGAGAGTAACTGAGCAACTGTTCCTAGTCAGAAGTTACAGGATTTAGTCCGGAGTTTCTTTTCCTGTAAGTTCATGAAAAGTGTCAAACGATCAGCTGATTTTTATCAGATAGTTAGTTTGGGTTTAGCTGGTTTCCTTTATTGGTTTTCAGAAGGTGCCTTGCTAACTTCCACGGAAGTTAGCAGGGCACGCGATATTTTTTAAAATGTTTCCGCGGCAAGATAATTATTTTCTCGGATAAACAACGGATAATTTACGGCAAATTATCAGATAGTTAGTTTGGGTTTAGCTGGTTTCCTTCATTGGTTTTCAGAAGGTGCCCTGCTAACTTCCACGGAAGTTAGCAGGGCACTCGGAATTTTTG